CACCCAACTTCGAGATCAACAAGCTGGATTTCGAAAGGATCGGTCGTGCACAGACCAAATTGCAACACTACGGATCATCGTCGAACAATCAGTTGAGTGGAACTCGTCACTATACATCAACTTCATTGATTATGAAAAGGCATTCGACAGTGTAGATAGGAGGACATTATGGAAACTTCTTCGACACTACGGAGTTCCTGAGAAGATTGTCAATATTATCCGGAACTCATACGACGGACTACAGTGCAAAGTAGTGCATGGAGGACAGCTGACAGATGCATTCCAAGTAAGGACCGGAGTCAGACAAGGCTGTTTACTCTCTCCCTTCCTCTTTCTTCTGGTGGTCGACTGGATTATGGAGACCTCGACATGTGAGGGAAAACACGGAATACAATGGACAGCTCAGAACCAATTAGACGATCTGGACTTCGCAGATGACCTAGCCCTCCTATCACGTACACATGAACAGATTCAGATAAAGACAGCCAATGTAGCAGCAGTCTCTGCATCAGTAGGCCTCAGTATACACAAAGGGAAAACCAAGGTCCTCAAACTCAAAGTGGAGAACAGCAATCCAATCACTCTTGATGGCGAAACTCTGGAAGATGTAGAATCCTTCACACATCTGGGAAGCATCGTCGATAGACAAGGAGGTTCAGATGCAGACGTAAAGGCGAGGATTGGCAAAGCAAGGGCCGCATTCCTACAATTGAAGAACATATGGAACTCAAAACAACTGTCAACCAATATCAAAGTGAGAATCTTCAATACGAATGTCAAGGCAGTTCTACTGTATGGAGCTGAAACTTGGAGAACTACAACAACCACAATCAAGAAAGTACAAGTATTTATAAATAGCTGCCTTCGCAAGATACTCAACATCCATTGGCCGGATACCATCAGCAATAGCCTTCTGTGGGAGAGAACAAACCAACTTCCAGCTGAAGAGGAAATTAGGAAAAGACGATGGAAATGGATAGGACATACATTACGCAAATCGTCAAACTGCATCACGAGGCAAGCTCTAACTTGGAATCCTGAAGGGAAGCGGAAAAGAGGAAGGCCAAAGAACACATTACGTCGGATAATAGAAGCAGATATGAAAAGGATGAATTACAACTGGAAGGAGCTGGAAAGGATTGCCCAGGACAGGGTTGGATGGAGAATGCTGGTGAGCGACCTATGCTCCTTCACGAGGAGTAACAGGTGTAAGTAAGGAAGTAAGTATACAGGTTCTCACACCGAGTCATCAATACTTGGAACCTGCTGCCCAAAGCAGTGGTGTCCGCACCTTCAATTGGTTGTTTCAAGAGAAGACTGGACACTCACAGAAGCATACTAGAAAAGGAGTAACATAGACCATAGGCATTCTGTGCCTACTACCCAAATCTAAATCTTTTGATGACACTGAGCAACAATCCCAGGATGTTAGAGATGCATTTATGCCCCTCTAAATGCAAGTTATTACTCAAAGAATGGCCTGCATCAACACCCGGACTAAGGATAAGCAGTGAAGTAGTCAAACGCATTGACAACTTCACTTATCTTGGAAGCCTGGTCAGCCCTAATGGGTTGGTGTATGACGAAATCTCTGCACAGATTCGAAAAGCTCGCTTGGCTTATGCCAACTTACGTCACCTATGGCGAAGGCGAGATATCTGTCTATCAATTATGGGACGAGTATACGGCGCAGAAGTTCGTTCTGTTCTACTTTACGACTGCGAAACATGGCCATTGAGATTAAAAGATAGTCGTAAGCAACTAGTATTTGACCACAGATGTCCTAGAAACACAGCTTGTATCTGCTGGGATCACCGGGTAATGAATAGTGAGGTTAGACGCAGGGTATTAGGGAATGATGGTAAATCAGTTGATGAGGTTGCAAATCTACATCGACTGAGATGGTTGGGCCACGTGTTACGTATGCTTGAACACCGATTACCACGGCGCGCAATGCTGACTAGTGTAGGGGATGGTTGGAAAAAAGTAAGGGGCGAACAAACCAAAACGTGGTATCAGTGCTTGGAGTCACTAACTTCTAGTCTGAGCCATGTTAGTAGATGCAGACTACTTGGTTGGGGTCCGCGTGGCTATCGTAACCAGAAGTTGAGGACTGGGTGACATGGCTCAGAATCGATCATAATGGCGTAGGTGTAAACACTGTCTTCTTTTAGGCTGTGAGATTAAAATTACTTTATACCTTCATTTCTACCAACTAATTCTTTTTTCCAATGTTATATCCTTATGCACAACCTTTCTTTTATATATTACTACAAGTGAATTCGGTGTTCATCATGTTGTGATAATGAAGTGTGGTAAGTTGGACCGATGCATATATGTGCCTGGTCCTACGTTAGAGCTGAATGACTGACTGACTTTCCTCTAACTTAGTCATCAGGAACTAGAATGTCTCAAGTGTTCGGTAACTAATGCATTATTCAAACCGTAAAAGTAATTTTTTTTAAATACCGGAGACTTACTACATACAAAGCATGGAAGGCACCGAGCAAAGACGCCAAACAGGAAACGGATGGTTCAAGCCAAGAGTGTTCCAACTTTTTAGCCGTTTTCAATGGACCCAACAGAAGGAGAGGTCTTTTAGATCCGATTTTGATAGCCCTAGAAAAAACATACAGCCCATTTGGAATAATGTAGGATTTTAATGAAGTATAAGTGCGCTCCGACCAGCTAATACCTCGTAGAAACATGTAAGACGTTCATTTGATTTAGCCATAAATTATATAACATGAAGCGATTTTGATTAATGGTAGAATAAGGTTATACCATGTTTGCATGTTAGCCTCACATCTGTGAAAGAAGTTTCATACCATGCTGAAAGATCTGTAGTTTTCGGGTGGTAGTATGTTCAAAGTACAAATTACATCAAACTTAGTTAAGCAGAAATAGAGAAATAAACTGCTTGTGAGCTTGTGGCTGAACTATGAACGCTTGAGAAATACTACTGATCTTGGTGAAATATACAGTTCTATGAGGCTCGACGATTTAACTCCAGAGGTTTTTAAGAATTGTGGAACATTTTTAACAGTCAGGTTGACTGAAATACTATCTGGATGTTTGGAGCTGGGGAAAATCTTACCCGACAGGCCTCGACGGTTGGATGTCTCAGTTCAGAAATAACTAAAGCTTTCTTTTGATAACCAAAAAGAAAACGGTTTGACTGACAAAATATCTAAAGTATTAACCTTAATAATCATTAAATGATCGTCTGGAACTGACAAATAGCAAACTCCGTAAAACCGGGGTGGGTTTTGATTTCGATAAGCGTATATAGGTCAATCATTTATCATTCATCAGGCTTTAAAACGTTGGCATACTTACTGCCAACAGTTGTGATTCTAGACCTCAAGGCGTACCAAAGAAGTACACAAAAATTGTGAGATCTCTACTTGAACACTATTGGTTGAAGTAATCGTTATGGTTAACGTCCATTGAAACTGCCAACTTCAAGTAGTCTCCTAGAGTTGCTCATTATTCCTCTTGTTTTAATCAACTTTGTCATACTTTTAATAATATCCCTTCTTTTGTCTGACTTCAGGGATTGATATTCTAAGAAACCCACTTATGGACTACAAATATACAGTATATAATCTCAGGTGAAGAAGCTAATAGAATACAGGGATTTATGATCGTTTTGAGTAATGCACTAATAATAGTATATTTGGGATGCTTTTTTCTACTTCTAAAGAAATATACTGCTCTAAGGTTGATTTTTCAATGAGAAACTAATAGAGAGCAAAGTTTTTGAATGCGTTTCCCACCTTATTAAGTTTCACCAGAACTGGTGGATTGATGGCTGATTTAATATTAGCACTAATTCAAAAAGCTTATCTGGTTTGAGATATCCGTCTGCCAACGAAGGGACGATTAAACCCCAAGCTGCCAATTTTGGGGAAGCCGCTATAATAATTTTTGGGGAAATGGCACAAAAACCCCAAACTTTGGAAATTTCCCCAAAGTTGGCAGCTTGGGACTATACAGCAGTTTGCTGTGTTGCTTTAAAGACGCCAAATACAAATTATAGAACAAATTTGTAAACTTCAAGTTCTTGACCATAGGTGTAGCTATAGCACTGCAAGTGCATGTTGAAAACACAGAGCGATGGAAAGTTTAAACGAACAGTGCCAAGCAAAAATGGGAAATTGGTTGATAAGATTCTGAATTCCTATCAATTGAGAAAATCAGGACGTATTCCAAGCTCCCAATTTTGGGGAAAATTTGACCCATTTTGGGGAAGCCGCTATAGTAAATTTTGGGGAAATGGCACAAAAACCCCAAACGTTGGGGAAGGCTATTTCACCTTGAGGATTTCCCAAAAAATTTCCCCAAAATTGGGAGCCTGGGATATTACGTACGCCCAACCAACACCTAACCAACGTGTAATATTGGCTATCAGAAGTAAGGAGATAGGTAGGTGTGCCAAAGGCCAAAAATGGTATCAGTTGGTGGAGTTATTTACTGTTTTAGTTTTACATAATTATAAACTTGCTCATCGTACTTTGGTTGTTTATTTTGAACCCCACGTTTGCCTTCTTTATTTTAATTTTACACCAAACCACCAGATGTTTGCTGAGTAGTGTGAGATCTAGATGAAACCACTTACCAATGATCTACATGTGCTTATCATAGAGACATTGGAGATAGTGAGATCAGCCCGAGCTGCCAATTTTGGGGAAACTTCCGAAGTCAAATGACCTTGCTCATGTTTGGGGAAACCCCCTGAGTCGAATGACCATGATCAAGGTCAAAGAGGAATTTCGGGGAAATATTGGAGAATTTCCTTAAGTCTGGGGAAATTTTAGAGTTTGGGTCTCATTTCCCCAAAATTTACTGTAGCGGCTTCCTCAAAATTGGCAGCTTGGGAGACTTCAGCAAACAACCTGACCTGGCATATGACTGAATTAAGTGATTGGAGTTGCCTATCCTCATATAAGTCTTATCATATTGTAACCACCTGCCTTTTATACCTCACATTTACTTACTGAGATATACCTTTCGTTGATGCTTCAGTTATTCGACGAGCATCATCAATGTCTTGATCAAGGTGACCAGTAAACGAAACGACCTAGGAGACTTTATAAATGAACATCAACATACCAAACGTTTAGATGGTAAAGAACGACAAGTCAAGGTGTGGACATCTGAAGAGAATTTCTGGTTCACCTAAAAAAATTATAACCCTGCTTCACACAGACCTGTGATGCTTCTTGTAACGTTTCAAAAAGAGGCGTAAACGAGAATGCATCTGACACGTCTTCAACTACAAGTACAACAGAATCGAAGTCCTGAGAACATAGATCGGACGTAACGACAGGCCGTATTGACTCGCGATGTGTCATAGCAGCGACAATTGACCTTGAAGTGTTTGAACAGACAATCCGAGATATACAGAAAAACCGGGAACTAAAAAGTGATTTCGGGTAGACCTTTAAAGTTGATTTGTTAGGCTTACCTTGACCTAAACAAACTGTGAAATAGCATTACATGGAAAGTGAATATTAAAAGCACGGAGGTGACCTTGGGAGAGTATTCAATACTGTTCGTTCAAAAATTACCTTTCCCTCATATATCCGGCCTCTCTACACAACACCCTGAACAGATGAACTTCCCCATTTGTCTTGTTTCCCCAACGGTATAATTTATTGAACTAACATGGTTCGTAGCAAATGTTTCGGTCCAAACAGTATCTCAGTCTCAGTTTCAATCCTCGAAGGAAACGAGCTGGGTGGCTTGTGTTGATCATGTAGCGGTAAATAAATCCCCAAAATAAGTAACTCCGTAAGTCTTCGAGATTGGATGCTGACCACATTAGTTCTAGTGAACTCAGCTAGCTGAAGGCGCTCGGTCATGCATACGCACCAGATCACGAGTGGGAACGCCGTGTTCAACATCCCCTGCAATCGCTGGCCAGCCTAGATCAGTTGATCCTCAATAGATTGATAACCTATCAAATTTATCCTTGAACCTCCTGGCTTCTGTCTTTTGATTTCTCTTGGTGGGTGTGATTCATATTAAGTGTTACTGGTCAAAGCGTTGTCAAACTCCAAATACATGTGGCATCTTTAACCACGGCAATCGTGGTCTCTCACTTTAACCGACTTTCTTCTGAAAGCGTTGACAGACGAAGTAATGAAGTCCATTTGTTGATGACTCGATGGGAAAGTCGATGATCAGCTGACAAGTGAGTTGTTCGGGGCTTGTAAACACTTTACGTATTCTCATAAATCCTATACTTTGTAAGACACGAGAATTAAAATAGACTTGTAAGCATAGATGGATAGTGCATAGCAGTGGGATCCAGGACGCGCGTTTCGTCCTATTTGGGACTCGTCAGCTGGATGTGCCTGCATCTCAGAGTTGATGTTCACTCTGGGACTCGAACTCAATACCGTTCGTTTCAAACACCATCGCAGGTCAACCGACCTTTGACGATGGCCCTTTCAAACAGCTCTTCTTATCTAAGCTTCCCCAACAAGCTTCCCATTTCAAAATAACTTTGTAGATGAATGCATCTGCCGATTGGATTCTGAAGATCATCGGAACCCCTCATTCCCAGGGATTATTCTGTCAAAGAAAAACCTCGGAAAACACAAAACGATGTCATCAACCGCTGTCATACTTTCGCTCGTCATCCTAATATTCATCATAATAGTAGACGTTCTGTGGTGTTTGAATGAACCAATGATACCTTTGTACTGGTTGAATGCTTGATTTCGAATTCTAAATACAATACATTCGTTTGTGCCTGTGTCTTCTTAATTCAATTGCGTTAATCCTGGAATTCTTAATTCATACGATAATTAGAATACTATATTGGCGTCGTGATGGAACCTGCAATGGAAAAGTTGGATATTCATTCAACTCCTGAAGCTATTGAGGATTATTTGGAAAGGTTCGAAATTTGGGGCATGACCAAGAAAGATGTTAAAGGTGAGAAAATTGTGGCACATTTTCTGACATTCATTGGGAGAGAAGCGTACAGCTTATTAAAAACTTTGGCATATCCAGAAAAACCTATCTCACCCCCTTATGCAATTCTTAAAGAGCTATTGTTAAGTCATGTAAAATGCACCAGTTTTGAATGCCGTGAACTGGCGAAGTTTCATAAGATGGTTCGTCAAAATGACCAAAAGGTTCGGGAATTCATCCTTGAATTACAGAAACAAGCTGCCAAGTATAATTTCGGTGATCAACTTCATGTGCAACTGAAAGATCGATTAATTGCAGGAATTAACATACCGAGTTTAGAAAGAGAGCTGTTAAGAATGCCAAACTGTTCCTTTCAAGATGCTAGAACTGCATGTATTAACTACGAAGCAGTCAATGAACTTGATATCCAGTCGATGAACATTTCTAATACTTTGCTTAGTCATCGTGATGAACTACAATCTCAGGGTCAATCAAACTTGCGTTCATTTAACAGTGATTCCTATTCTCGTGTAAATATGAAAGGTGTTTCAACGAGGAATTACAAAGCGAATCACAAAGGTAAGATGAAGTTTGGTAAATGTTTATCATGTGGAAAGTTTCATGCTCGCAATTCATGTGTATTTCGTAATGCTAAATGTTTTAAATGTGGTAAGGTAGGACACATTCAGTCAGTATGCAAAGCTACTGTCCATTTTGCTTCGAGCTGTACTAAATCTTGTAATTTAAATTTCAATAATTCGGATGTTTCTAGTGATCATTTGTCTTTGTCCACTATTTCGAAAGGTAATGCTCATATTCAGAAGCGATTATATACATCGCTTGGTTCATTTCATGACTTTATTCTGGACACAGGCAGTATAGAGTCCATTATTTCATTCAAGAACTTGAAAGCTTTAGATCCTAACGTTGTGGTACGACCCACTGAAGTATCAATACTGGGGATTACTGGACACAGACTGCCCATACGAGGATGTTGTGAATTGCTAATCAGAGATGATAATTCTTCATACATACCTTGTGAGTTTTTGGTTAGCGAAACAGGACTGTCAATATTGGGTTTAAAGAATTTGAAAAGGCTTAAGGTGGAGTTGTCCTTCTTAGTTTCTAAAGAAAATTCTGATACTTTACTTAAAGATTTGATAGCTATGTGTGCTAAGTGCAGTGGAGGTATGAAAATTAAGCCTATAAAACTTCAAGTACAGGGTGATCCAGTCTTTCTTAAAAGACGAATAATTCCTTATGGCCTTCGAGAAGCAGTACATAAGACATTAGACGATTTGTGTGTGAAAGGCATAATTGAACCAATCCAGTCTTCAGCATGGGGTACTCCTATCGTTACGCCACTGAAGTCGGACGGCAAGACCCCTAGAATTTGCGGTGACTATAGATTAACTCTGAACTCCCGTTTGTTGAAGCAAACGTGCACGACGGTAGAAGCTGAAGATATTCTAAATCGACTTCATGGTTCTAAAGTGTTCTCAAAAGTTGACCTAAAAGATGCTTATCTTCAAATTCCTTTAGATGAATCTTTATCTATTTTGACGACAATTAACACTCCTTTTGGTCTGTTCAAATACAATTTCCTTCCATTTGGTCTAAGTTGTTCTCCAGCCATATTTCAGGAAGTTATGAATAAAGTAGTTAGTGATCTTGAAGGTGTTGAGGTTTATCAAGATGATCTCATTGTTCATGGCTCTAATAAGGTAGTTCATGACCAGAGACTTATTGCTTTATTGCGTCGTTTAATTGAGAAAAATATAACAGTGAATCCAAATAAGTGTTCATTTTGTGTATCTAGTTTTGAATGCCTTGGATACCTAGTTGATGGTAATGGTTTTAGACCAGATATGAAACGACTAGCCCCACTGACTAATGCACCGTCTCCGAAAAATCTTACAGAATTACGTTCACTAGTGGGTGCTCTTCAATACTATTCCCGTTTTATTCCTAATTTTTCTTGTCGTGCAAATTGTTTATTTAATATTTTAACATCAAATTCATTCAAATGGAGTGAGGAACAAGAGTCATGCTTACGAAGTCTGCTGAAGTTTCTTCAAAGTGATGCTGTTCTTCGAACGTACTCCCCTAATGTACATTCTGTGCTTATTACTGATGCATCACCTGTGGGAATTGGTGCAGTTTTGGAACAGGAAGGTAGACCAGTTATTTGTGTTTTACGCAAACTTACTGTTACTGAACAAGGTTATTCACAGACTCAGCGAGAAGCATTAGCTGTGTTTTGGGCTGTTAAAAGACTTAATAAATATTTATTCGGAAAGAAATTCACTATTGTTACTGATCATGAAGCTTTAAAGTTTATTTATCATCCCGAAAAATCCTTAGCACGTTCCTCAGCAGCTATGGTTCAGCGATGGAGTATTGCTTTGAGTGCATATGACTATACGGTTCAGCACAGAAGTGCCAAACAGATTCAACATGTTGATTACATTTCTCGACAGTCATTACAAGATAAACCTATTAATACTTCGGATTGTTTGTTAGTGCAACCTTTACCAGTGAGACGTTCAGATCTCATTAGAGAAACTCGTAGATATTTTGGATGTATACTCAGTGCTATAAGGAAAGGTTGGAATGCTAATTTGAAACGGAGATTTCCTATCTATTTTTCAAAGCGGGATGAGTTATCTACTACTCCTGATGGTATTCTGTGTTTAAACGATCGTGTTGTCATTCCTCCTTCATTGCGTAAATCTGTTCTTGAAGATCTTCATAGTGGTCATTTAGGTGTTGAGAAAATGAAGTCCTTGGCAAGGCTCACATGCTGGTGGCCAGAGATAAATGCAGATATATGTCGTACGGCAAACAATTGTGAGAAATGTCATCAGTTGAAAAATCATCCTTCGAAGTGGGTGCCATGGCCAGTATCGTCTGAGGCCTGGCAGAGGATTCATGCTGACTATTGTGGACCATTTCTTGGGAAATACTACGCACTAGTAGTCATTGATTCTTTTTCAAAGTGGCCTGAAGTTTTTTTCACGACTTCACCAAATTCAGATTTCACAATACAAGCATTAAGAAAGGTGTTTAGTCGAGAAGGTGTTCCCTTGGTGTTGGTGACTGATAATGGCTCACATTTTGCTGCAGATGCAGTCACTACCTGGTTGAACGGTATAGGGTGCAAACATCTATTTACTGCTCCCAGACATCCGTGTTCTAATGGTCAGGCAGAGAATTTTGTTAGGACATTAAAGACTGCTATTGATTCTATAGCCCCCTCAACATTTAATGAGCTGGAGAGGGGAGTAGATACCTTTCTATTGCAATATAGAAATGCCAGACATTCGGTGACGAAGGAGACTCCAGCGAAGCTATTGAAAGGAAGAATTCTTCGGTCGAATATGAGATGTCTGGAGTCTGCAGAAGTTACATACTATCGAGGAAATGATCTTCGACCATCGACGGGTATTGTTCTGAAGAATGTCGGAAAATCGATGGTGCGAATTCTAGACATC